TTGACTTCCTCCTTTCCTCCCAGCCACGCGGGGCCTTCTCTCCGGGGTCAGTTCATTCTGGGCTGTCAGCACTAGCCTCGGCTGGCCTCACTTTCCTGCCTCTACTGCCTGACCGCTGCTTCGAGGATGAATTATGAAATATTATACAGAAATAATTTCCCAGACTAGTTTTTTTTTTTTTTTTTAAGAAATTTTCTTTGTCAGGGGCTCCTGGGTGGTTCAGTTGGTTAAGTGTCTGACTCTTGATTTCAGTTCAGATTATGATCTCGTGGTGAGTGGGTTTGAGCCCCGCGTCGGGCTCTGTGCTGACAGCTCGGAGCCTGGAGCCTGTTTCAGATTCTGTGTCTCCCTCTCTCTCTGCCCCCCCGCTTTCTCTCTCTCAAAAATAAATACAGGTTAAAATTTTTTGAAAAAAATCTTGTCAAGATGAGGAAATGAAACATTTTGATGCGCTAGTGGGTGGTACGTGCTCAAGCGGGCTGGCTGTGATGTTTAGGGAGACAAATTCAGGGCCTCCAGCTTGAAAAACAGAGGAAGATATGCTTATGCAGCTCGAAATGTTCCCACATATGTTTGTAGCCCTCTATCCTAACCTCTAACCCATCTACAATTTTTTTAATGTTTATTCATATTTGAGAGAGAGAGAGAGAAAGACAGAGACAGAGCGTGAGCAGGGGAGGGGCAGAGAGAGAGGGAGACATAGAGTCCGAAGCAGGCTCCAGGCTCTGAGCTGCCAGCACAGAGCCCGACGCGGGGCTCGAGCCCACAAACCGCGAGATCATGATCTGAGCCGAAGTCGAATGCTCAGCTGACTGAGCCCACCCCCCACCCCAGGCGCCCCCTCTCCTACAATTTTTGACTAAGTCAGTATCTAGTGTTTATCTTAACATGACTCTGTTCGTATCGTTGACCACCGAGCCGAGGAATTTTCTGTTACAGTTCTTTCCTCGCTTGTCTGATGTGTCACTCTTCTTGGAGTTAATAATTACCTTGCTATTTTTGTTAGCACACCGTCCACTACCGTGACTTCTCCGGGACCAGCCATATTTTTCCTTCCTCCCTGACTATAAGGTGGGTTGTGGGCATCATGTTTTTCTTGGGAGTTTCCCTTGCTGGACCTCCCTTTCCTCCTGCTGTAGGACGACTCTTTGGTTTCGAAGGCCTGCTATGCAGGGGTCAGCCTGGAGCTTCCCCTCTGCCCCCCCCACCCCCAGCCTCTTCTGTTGGATTTCCTATTTCCTTGTCTTCCTCTCTCTTGGTTTGTGCCCTTGTTTTGGTGGAGCACACTCTTTAGTAGCTTTCTGAGAAATGGTGCGTGGGAAGCAAATGTTTTGAGTTCTTATGTGAGTGACCACAGTGGTTTCCTGCCCTCTACCTGTCGGACGTTTGGCTGGACTTGGAGTGCCGGATTAAAAGTAATTTTCCTTTTGTTTTCACCTCCTTTACTTTGGAGGCTGTCCTTAGCTGCCTGGTAATCCACTGTTCATTCACATTTGAGACACTCTCCTTCGCTTGAAAATAATTTCCCTCGCCAGAAGTTTGCTCTCCCGTAGAGGTGAAAATATAATCCTTTGCAAAACTTCAAATGTGGTATTATTTTCTCACACTGTCATTTCAGTGCTTGCCTGTAGAACAGACACAAAACATTCTGGAATTTTCACCTCAATATTCTTCCAAGTAACATTTCAGTAATATTCAGAACGTAGAGTTTTGTGAGAGCATCTTCAGATTGTGGGGCTTTTTGTTGTCTGTGATTAAAAAGTGCAATTTAAAGGAAGGAAGGAAGGAAGGAGAAAGGAAGAAAGAAAGAAAAAAAAACACACGGATTTTAAAAATCAGGTCATTTTTATTCAAGGCTTTTTATTTTGAAAATATTCTATGTTTCCTTCTGTATTTTATCCTTTACACTTAGATGTTTGATCCGTTTGAAATTTATTTTGATGGAGGGAGACAAGTTCAGGGGCAACTTGGGTGGTTGTTTTTTGTTCAGTCCCCAGGTGGCTGGCCAGGTGACCTGATCTCATTTACATCATAAAACAAATTCCCGAATAGAATTGTGTGTCTATTTTGGGATTCACCATTCTGTTCTGGTCTCTCTGTCTGTCTGTCTGTCCATAGGAAGGAACCAAACTGCTTACTTACTGACCTCATTGCTCTCCCTTTTCAGAATTTTCCGGGTTATTTTTAGTATTTATTTCCCATAAGAACTTGAGAATCAATCTGTGTAATTCCACAAATAGTTCCGTGCCTATTTTTATAGGAACAAGGATTGGGTTGAATTTATAGGTTAATTTAAGAAGAATGAACATCTTTAAGATTTGAGTCTTTCTACCCCAGAATAGCATTTTTTCTTTCAATGTATTTGAATCCATATAAAATGTCTATAAATCGTTTTTT